CAGCACAGTGTAATTGTAGTTCAATGTCTAAAATACCCTTTATTTTTTAATTTTCTGACAATAGTATCTTATTTGTTTAAAATATTTACAACATGCCATCCTACCTAACACATATCCCTTTTGTTTAAAATATTTACAACATGCCATCCTACCGAACACATCCGTACTTAACACCCTGAAATATTGAATTATTACCATCTTCACACAAAGCTTTTCATCGGTTAACCCGAAAGAACCATCCATCTCGCTCAGATCTTGTGTGAAGACGCACTTTAGCAGGTACACAAATCCCTGTCGGCCTAAATATTCCATTCTTATTCGCCCCGTAAATTCGTTCGCCTTTAATGTTTTTTGGTGTACTACACCCAAGTTGTATTTCATTTTATGTTGTTTTTTCTTTTTTACTTGTTGATGGCGTAATGGAAATGCCTGAATGCAGGGGGCTTCACCTACGCTATTGTTGTTTTATTCAATATTTATTGTTCTTTTTTTTTTCTGCTTCTGGTAAATGGAGGGTTTATGTTGCAGTCTGGTATCTGTCAATATGTTCCCGGTCATTTATTTTTTTACAGTTTTTTCTTTCTCCTTGAACCTTTTCAATTGACCAACTATTTTGGACAGATATGCTTGAGTTAGTGGAAAAGTAAATGTATTTTTATTTTTATTTTTTTTATCATTCTGGATTTGTATGGGAAAAAGAAAATAGGGCACACATGACCAAATTCATAAATTTTCTTCGCCAACAGTTAATTCTTTCGCTCTTATCCAATTGCGTATTGAGGTGATTTTCCAGCACTTCATATTCTTTATAATTAATTAGTATGTGGGTTTTTATATTCCCAAAACAAGCTCCAATTTTTTCTCAAGAAACAAACTTATAAACATTCACATTGTATTAGATTATTGTTATCGGGAACATGGACTTCGAAATGGAGGACGTTGAAGTTATCCTGATCGTTGAGGAAATAGTTAATATGATAAAAGTTGTGTTGTTGCTTTGTGTCTCTTACATTAAGGTATTTGGCACAAACAATGGTTCGCGTGTTAGAGGTGTTTAGGACAACCTGACTCCTTTTAGTATGGCAGCAAGATTACCGAAGCAAGTAGAACACATGACACAGCTCATATGCATTAGTGATAGGACATGTGTCGAACAACTTCGTATGGATCGTAATGCATTTGGTCTTTTATGTTATCTATTGGAGCATGTAGGCAAACTAAATGGTACACGAAATGTCCAACTTAGTGAACAAGTAGCGATTTTTTTGAGCGTTTTGAGCCACCACAAAAAGAATGCTGTAGTGAAGTTTGATTTTAGGCGATTCGGACAGACTATTAGCAAACTTTTTCATAATGTACTTCGAGCCGTGTTACGATTGTACCCATTACTTGTTGATCAACCCAAACCTGTAGACGAGTCGAACAACGACTGGCGGTGGAAGTGGTTAAAGGTTAGCTACATGACTGTTCCTTCTTCTTTATATTTTTTTATAGTATTATTCGACGTGTACAACATGATGTCCACGTCTACATGTGTTAATATTTATGGTATGCAGGGATGCTTGGGAGCACTAGATGGTACATACATCCCAGTGCGTGTGCCTAGTGGCATGCACCGGCGTTACAGAAATCGGAAAGGGTCCGTTTTAGTAAATGTCTTTGGTGTTTGTAATGTTGAAATGAATTTTTTATATGTTTTGGTGGGGTGGGAAGGATCAGTTGCGGACAATAGGGTTTTGAGAGATGTTGTCCATCGAGACGAGGGTTTACGCATTTCTCAAGGTAATTTAATAAAGTGAATATCAATGCTTTTAAATGTATGTTTTTTCTTACATTAAATTTTGACGTATACATTATTTACAAGAAACTATTATTTATGCGATGGAGGTTACACAAATGGGCCAGGTTTTTTGGCACCTTTCCGAGGCGTGAGATATCATTTGGACGACTTTGGGGACGGACTACGTGCACCTAGAAATCATAGGGAACTCTTTAACCTGCGACATGCTAGAGCCCGAAATGTTATTGAGAGGGCATTTGGTGTTCTAAAGATGCGATGGGCGGTTTTAAGGAGCAAAATGTTTTTCGATATAGTCACTCAAAATAAAATAATCCTTGCTTGTTGTCTCCTTCAAAACTTCATTCACTCATCAATGAGTTATGATCCGATGGAAGGCGACATTGATGAATTTTTGCACGAACAGAACCAACATCAAACGATGGACCCTGTTGACTATGTTGATGTCGTGGAGCCAACAACCGAGTGGACGAATTGGAGGGAAGCTTTCGCAATGTCTATGTACAATGATTGGACCGGTGGAATTTGATGGTGTTTAATGCCACCATTATCGAACAAGAACCTTTGATGAGTTGATTTTCAAATTTAATAGTCTGGGATTATTTGTTTTGACACTGGGTACACATGATGCTTGAAGTTGTATTACTGTGTTTCGTATTTTAGTCTTTAGCATATTTGGTACTTATGATTGAATCTTGTAAAGTTAAAGTTATATGTGAGTTGAGGTGCACTCGTTCTTGATTTGTGATCCCTTTTTATTTGACCTTTTATTCTCACCACACAATTATATTGTGACATGTCATGTCTTGTATAGGTGTGAATGGATTCCGCTATTAGTTTGGGACGAACACCAAACCCAAACCCTACACGATGGGTATGGACGTTTGACGAGGAGCGTGCTTTAGTATCCGGGTTGAAGGACCTAGTAGCGCGTGGTTGGAAATGCGATAACGGTTTTCGCTCGGGATACACCACGGTTCTAGAACAACATATCCGTCAGCTTTGTCCTGGCAGCAACATCAAAGCAGAACCGCACATCTGTTCAAAGATAACGGTATGGAAAAAAAATTATGTCTTACTCGTTCCAATGTTCGGGAAATCCGGCTTCGGTTTGTCTGAAACTGTAATGCCCCGTTTGAATTATAGAATTTTGAGGATTAAATATTATTATTATTATTATTATTATTATTATTATTAATATCTAATTGTTATTATTATTATTTATTAAATGCTATAAATTATTAATTGTCTAATATGATTTATTTGTCAAACTGCTTAATTGTCTAAATGTTAAATTGCCTAATTGTCTAAGTGTAATTAATTTATTAAAAGGTGTATTGGTATTTTACTAATATTATTATTATTTTCTAAAAATTTAAATTGTGTATCATCAATATATATTTTATTTTGGTTTGCTTATTTAGGTGTGCGAGTTTATTTATCGAGCCATAGGAATCTGTATTATCTCAACGTAGTCGGGCCCGAGAGCCGATACGTTTTATTTAACCGAAACCCGCGAGCCCGATAACCGTCGGCCCAACTCGTTAACCCGACCCAAACCGTGAGAGTGTGAGTTTCTTTTTGATCAAGATTCTAAACCTATTTATGTGTTATATATATATACGTATCTCCTTTCTCTCTTCACGCACGATCAGATTTCTTAAACCCTCCCGCAGCTTCTCCTTCAGGCGTGAACTCACAGAGAAAAGATTTTCTTTTTGTTTCGTCTTCAACCCTTCTTCCCTGCAGCAGAGAAGAAAAATCTCTTGCCTTCTCTCACCATCATCCCCTGCGCCTTCATCATCTCGCGAAATCCAGACGCCGGCGGCCTTCTTCCACCACGAGCCAACCACCGCTGTAAGCCGACGACTACCCACATGTTCACGACGTGATCGACGACTCCCCCCCACCACGCAGCAAGTCCTACGAGCAGCAACCTCCGCGACGAGCCGCTGCGAGCCGTCGCCTTCCTCCCTCGCTGCAATCCCCGAAGTTCTTCCGGCGAACCCTCCAACTCCGAATTCCGTCGCTACCCTCTCGCCGTGATCCTCTCGCAGTCGTCGCAAGCCCGTCAACACCTCAGCGGCGAGTAGCCTCTTTTTTCGGCGAGACGAAGCTTGCCGTCGAGCCTCGAGCCGTTTCGCGTGCCGTTCGACCGAGCCCGTCAACCTTTCGTTCGTTCATTTTCGTTTATTTCCCGAGAACGGTACAAGGCTCGACTCGTCTCGTTTAATTTTTACGTCTCGTTTATGTTGTGTATTTGGTTTTCATTGTGAAGGTTTAATTCAAGAATATATGTGCCTATGTGATTTTAAGTGTGTCCTTTAGATTATTTGTGTCATTTATGAAATTGTGCGTTGACGAGCCTTTCGATTTTGAAAAAATCAAACGAGGCCTCGTCAACTCGTGAATTTGTCGCTGTGGGCTGGAACTTACGTCGTCCATAGTCTTATGGCGAAGACTTCGGACGGATTCGTCGTAAAACGAGTCGGTTATGAATTGTTGAATTGTTTAATTGCTGTTTTGATATATAAATTATGATAAAATCTGTGATGCTCGTATCAATGTGAAATTTTAGGTGCTCGTCCCTCTGCTGGAAATACATGTTGTGTAAAAATTTCAGATTTAAATAATAAGTTTAGCTATTTTTAATAATTGTTTGGAAATCTGAGCAGAATCATGTAAAATGCATATTAAACTCCGTTGCGTCTCAAAACTTATGAAATTTTAATATGCTATCTTCCTGTGTGTTTTATAGGTCGTGTAAAAGTTTTGGAATTTTTGGACTTCATTTGCTATGTGTAAAATTTTTTCTATTGTGTTATGCAATATCATAATTTAATTTAATAAATTGAATTCTTTCTGGAAATTTCTGAAACTTCACCAAGATGCTTATTTTATGTAATTATTCATGCTGTTAAAATATGAAAAATTTTGGAGTTCATTTCGGTTCGATTTTGATTTAAATTTGATAAACTGCTGAATCTTGTTTGAATTTTTAAAAATAGCAGCAGTTAATGTTAAGGGATGAGATTTTTATATCTTGTTTATATGATGCTGTAGCATGTTGTGTAAAATTTTCAAGTCCTGAATCATTCATTAAGTTTGAGTATAAATTCATGGCTCGGTTATGCTGATATCTTGTGGGAATTTTATAAAATAGTGTACTTGGGATTTGAAGCTGAAAATTTGTGTATTTGCTTATCTCTGGAAGGTGAAATTTTGGATAAAATTTCAGGGTTAAATTCGAATCAGAACCTGGTCAACTTATTTTTATGGTTTAAATCTAGTATTTTGGATACATAAATTTTGGAAATAAAAACTGTGAATCATCTCGTTTTCTGTTTCCTTGAATGTTTGGCTTTGTTGATCTGTGCCTTGGATTATCTGAACTCCCATGTGCAATTGGTTGAGTCTAGATGTCGAGTCTAAGTGTTCCAACGTCCACAGGACTTCACGAACAACTTAGTTGAATCAAGTTCGACTAAGTATGATTGTGATTTTCCGTCTAAGACAGAATAGCTGTTGATTATAGCATCTGAACTTAATGTAGGTGCTTGACAAGCCGAGCTCGCAGCCTAATCGTGCTTTCATGATTATCTCCTATTTGCGACCAGGTGGGTTATTCAAAATTTCCTATGCCCTAATCTAATTGTTATTGTTGTGTGTTTTATTTAAAATTGCTATGCCATATGCGTTTATATATGTTGAGATTGGTGCAATTATTGTATATGTATGTGAACCTGGTAGCCTATCGCTGTGAGCTAATACGACCGTCGGTACGGTGGTCCCCGTTGATGTGAGTTGTATGCCCTTCGACGGTGCCTAATTGTAGGCAGTCTTCTTAAGTCCTGTACGGAGGCTATATCGTATGTAAGACCGGGGCAGTGGCCAAAGGCTTTCGATATGTATGTCGTTGTAAGACCTGTACGGAGGCATTCGATACGAAGACACTCAGTAGCTTTACAGAGATGTGCACATGAGTAGATATTATTGATGGGAGATAGGATATGTTATTGATTTGTGACCATGCTGTGATATTATCAGTTCTATATTATGATTGTTGATTATGGCATAGTGGTGAGCACTACTTTTTCCTCTTGTGCTCATTCCCACCTGAAATTCACGTTTCAGGTTAAGCAAGGCAGGTGCGACGGCGGAGTCAAGCGAGTGGTGGTCGGTTTATAAGACTGACCCTATTATTGTTTATGCTTCCGCATTTATGAATTTATGGATTTTATGATTGATAAGTGATAAGGAGATGCTCTTTAAGACTTATGAATACTGTCTGGAACCCGGTTTGGGTAATATTGAATATTGCATTAATGATTATTGCATTATTGATGACTGATGATTGATATTGATGATTGATTGGGTATTGAAAAATTGGATAAGTATTGAAGTTTGTCTTGAAAAATGAGTAGCGCCTCAAGTGTATTGAAATAAATTTGAAAAATTTACTCTGATTTTCTGCAAATAAAAGTGGGGCGTTACAGAAACATGACACATTTTAGAGGTGAAGGATGACATTCGGCAAGAATATGTAAAGGTATGTATTGGTACCACATTGAAAATTTAAATTCCAGGAAAAGTAGATTGTAATTATTTTTTAACCAAAAGGATGATACAAAATTCTTTTCTACATTGTCCTGGCAACTAGGCACAACCAAAAGCGAAGCCTTTACGTGGCAAGTCCTTTTCATTCTATTCGAATTGGCTAGACATATTTGGGAAGGACCATGCAACAGGTGAGGGAGCACAAGGGTTTGTAGATGCTGTCAAGGAAGTACTGAGCAATGACGGTGACTGCACACAAAATAATACTTCGAGGCATGTCGGAGGTGGCGGTCTTTCCGAAGGGCAAGACAACGAGGTTGATTCTGAATCGGCGCATGGAGTTGAGAGCACTGCATCGGGTAAGGACAGGCGGGATAGCAAGCGGAAACGTAATTCGGATTTGGGGTGACCAAGTCGTGGGGCTGATTTCCACTTTATGTGAAAAGACTGATCAAAGGTTGTCTCAATTGGTTGCCCGTGTCGGGTTTCAACAAGATGCAAAGGAGCAACGTCAGATTATTGTTGGAGCACTTAAATCAATTCTGTCTTTATCTAGACACCAAAAGTTTACTGTTGCAAAGTACTTATGCAAGAATAACGACGAGCTTGATTTTGTTCTTGAGTTTGGACGAAGATGATAAGGAGTCCTACGTTTGGATGATACTCGATAATCATTTTCAGTAGCACGTCCTTCGCTATTATTTTTTGTATGATGATTTATAACTACATTTGAAACCTATATGTTTTATGGGTTACCTTTTGTTACAAAACAATTAATTAGGCGCACATGTATGTCTCATAGTGTGCTTTTTTGGAGACATATGGTAATTTAAACATTTACCATCTTCAAACTGAAATTATTAATACATTTTGTATGTTTATTCTCTCAACTTTGATTTGTACCCTTTTTATTATTATTATTTTTTTTCGCATTAGTAATTACTGAAAGTTCTTGTAGGTACCAGTAATTAATAATTTCCCACGGAAAATAGCAAAAATTGGATATCAAGTCAACTCAATCATCAGTCTCCCACTTACCTAACCCACGAAATTATCTCCTTGTGAGCAATTAAGAGAGGCTGAACATATTTGTGAGCAATTAAGAGAGGCTGAACATATGGTTGAGTATGAAGCTCATATTTGGTTTAACTTCTCTTTAAATTTACCTAGCACACATTATTGTGCACGTCCATCAATGAACATACCGGGTGTCTACAAAAAGCCATTCAGGTGAAACACCATTTTGCACCAAATATACGAAGAAAAGTGAAGGTTGTTTTGCCCACACAGCACGTGTGCACAAGCTCTTTCATATTCAGTTTAATTTTTTTTTTCAACTTTATGCATCTAACAACTTTGCATGAGAACATGCTGTCTGTCCTCTTATGTTAATTCTATATTGTTCTTAATGTTGTCCCGTTTAAATTACATTGTTTGCAGCACAAACAAAGGTACAAGAAGAATGAACCGTGAAACTCGTTTACAGCAAATTACTGACAGGTACCTCGTCCAGGGGTGGACACTACATGAGGAGAGGGTGTGCTACCGATTGTTCTTTGGCATTTGCCGTGCAACTCCTAACGTGGATCAACCAGCGGTATTCAACTCTCTTTGGTCAGTCCTTGCTCGCCAAGTAAGCGAGGCTATGCATAAAAAGTTCTCCATCGGCAAGGTTAAAGCGAAGATCAACATGCTACACACCCATTTTCGGGAGTTCCAACTCTACCTGACGATCCCTGGAACTAAGGTGGTTGGTGAAGGCGGACATGTTCGGGTCAGCGCAACCTATTGGATCTACGTCGGGCAGGTGATATTTTCAACTTTGAGTTATTTTACTTTCAAGTACAACTTTTGGGTTTACTTTCGTGTTCAACTTTTGTTATTTTACCTAACCTATGTATGTTTTCCCTCAATAATACAATCTACTGTTGTGTTTGTTCATTTTGCAAAGGAGACCGACTATGAAAGCTTCTTCCGCCGTTACGGCTTCCCATGGTATAATGAATGCGTTGAATTGGGGGAACTATGTGCTGTGGCGGAGGTTGATATGGCTAGAGGTCCAGGTTGTTCGACTAACAATCCACTGGATTTTCAGAATTTGGACGAGTATGACCAAGTAATGGACGAACCTGTCAATGGAGAAAATCAGGGAGATCAACATAAGGTGGTCATGGAAAACATGCACGTGCACGTGGACGAGGAGAATGAGGTTGCAAGCCGGGTCGAGGTCATCAACATTGAGGATGGGGAGAATGAGGTTGCAAACCGAGTCGAGGTCATCAACATTGAGGATGGGGAGAATGAGGTTGCAAACCGGGTCAAGGTCATCAACATTGAGGATGGGGAGAATGAGGTTGCAAACCGGGTCGAGGTCATCAACATTGAGGACGAGGAGGAGCCTGAGAGCATGAAATTGGACACGGATGTGGAGTCATGTGTTGACTCTGAGTAGGTAACCTTCGGTCAGTTGGGTTATGTAGTAAAGTGTTATGCTTCTTTTGTTGTTATCGTTAATGATGTCCCTACTATGATGACTACTATATAGTCAATGTCTTTTAGGTGTGTGTGTTTTGGAGTAGTTGACTCTATGACTGAAAATATGTGGTATTGTAGATCCCCCTACCTTTTTGTGTTGTACATACTATCGGCCGTTATGACGTTTGTCATTTCTTTTGTGGCCGTAGGGGTTGATATCCTGGTTGATTGTTGTCCGACTTTAGAATGCAAGCGTGAAATATAAAGGACGTTGCAAGTTTGTTTTAATTGTATTATAAATTCTTGAAATTAAACATATTTTGGTAGGACATTGTGATTGCATGTTGCAGAAGTGAAGCAAGAAATGTGGCAATGTACAACTCACCAAATATCTGTGCATGCTGTTTTGAAATGAAAAAAGAGTAGTGCATTAGCCAACCAACGAAGAGGTTGTTGTTCAACGATATTACATGATATTCTAGAAGCAAAATGAACTGAGTCATACATAACATAATATTACATGATATTCTAGAAGCAAAATGCACCGAGTCATACATAACAAACCCATAGGAATAAATAGGCGATTAGAAAATACGATACCAACGCCTAAGGTGTATTGAATTGGATACTATTTAAGGTTGCGGATCACTAGAAGATCCCTTACAAGAGGCTGGATCGGGCTTACGTGGAGGACGTGGAATGCGCAAAGTCGTACGTTTTCCAGGCCTAGATATGACTATGTGTGCCTGCATGTTGACAGATCCTTCTGATGTGGCATTATGAGCCCCTCCCGGGCGAGATGAGAAAATACTATTTCGGCTTGAGCAAAGGTCTCGAAGTGCATTGTGGTATGACGTGTCTGAGTTATCATCAAACTGAGGGACCTTTCCAGCAAAGGCATTTTCGTTGGTCGAATTGCGGTCCGGGACAAGTTCCGGCCTTCGACTGCTTGGAAAGACTTCCTCAAACATGTAGCGCAGGTCTTCCTAACGCGGGTCACCGGAATGTTGGTAAGCCAAGCTGAATGAATGTGACTGAGAGATCACAGTAGCCCGTAAATTGTTATACAAGTTAACAAGATGAATGAATGTGAATACAGTAGCATCACAAATTCTTTTTTTTTTTTTTTNTTTTTCGAAAATTCAGTGTGCAATATTTTTTTAAGGTACATGTGATGGTAATCACCTAATATCTATATATGTAAACAAACCATCGGGGTAACCATATATGGATAAGTCTTGTTAAAATCAGTCCAACTATGGACAACACAATGTTATGGACATAGAAAGGTAGTTGATTATCAGTTCAATATTTCAGTCAAACTAACTTTAATAAACTCCCCACCCTCGTGTTTCTTCTTATACAATATAATGAATGCAGTGAATTTTGTCAACCACGACCGTTCTTACCTCGAATATATCGTCCCAAACTGCAACAGGTGCCGTGAGGCTGTTCGATCGCGCGCAATAACGTAGGCCAGGCTTTGCTAACATCCAGCTGAAGACTTTGTAACGTTTACGGAGGAATTCGAACCTCTCCTCCAGGACCTCATGCGTGAATTGCATGTATCCTTCAGCTTCCAGAAAGACACGCCAGTAATCATACACATTTTTTTCCGACTGACCACTCTTCCAATAATCGAGAAAATGTGACTCGATCAGCAAATCAACAAACGTATTATCTGCTTCTTTTGTCCAAAAATTATCATATAGATACTCATCTTCAGTAATTGGGGTTGAAAGACGAGGCATGTTATTTTAAAAATTATGAAGAAGAAGAAAATTGAATATTGTTTAGTTGTAAAAGGAACCGTGCACTCCTTTTGATTTTGCAATGGATATGCCTACCTTCAATAATATACTACCCCAATCATGTGTACTATTCAGTCCGTGAATGGGTAAATAGGGGACTAAAAAAATAGAAGCTAACACTACATAAAGGACAAATTCATAATTTGGACAAAGTTGTACCCATCACTCAATATCACTAAGGCTGTTTTGCATGTAGCACCCCACAGCTATTTTCAGGCTTTGCGCAGATATTCTTGGTAGTTGTGAGCGTATCTATTGCTTTGCGCAGGAATATATTCTTGGCAGTTGTGAGCATATCTATTATATTGCTTTGCGCAGATATTCCTGGCAGCTTTGCGCAGATATTCTTGGCAGTTGTGAGCATATCTATTATCTAATGTACATTTTCTGCTGTAAATTCATGCTGGGATATGATGTATAAGAGATGCGACCCCAACTGATCAAAATCTAAATAATAACATGGTTAGATACTCACACACATTCACCTTCAAATAAAAAATACAGAAGGTAAAAAATGGAAGATTTTTTTTCAAATACTCTGTTACAGTTTCAAAACGTAGAATAATAGAAAAACATGGAACGAAAATATTCACAAATTAATAATCAAATAATTTACCCAAAATTTTTAATTTTTGTGTTTGGCAGTGGAAGACGGAATAAAAAAATGCAGTTGGAAGAAGCAAAACACTTAACAATTATCCATGGAGGGCAATTAAGTAAATGCAATATTTGTCTTCAAAATTATCTGGCCTAACAAATATATCGAACAAGATGTAGATAGCGGATGACGATAAATTAGCGGACTGGACTTAATTGAGAGGTTTGACCCGTCAAATCCGCTATTGAGTTTGTTTGGTAAATAGCTTATTTGATAAGCTTTTTGGGCCCAAAACTCTAATTTAGAAAAAGCTCATTAGAGCAGCTTTTTGGGATAGAGGATTCACAGTTGAGAGGTTTTACTTTGAACTTTTTAATGTGTCTTATTTATTTTACAATTCATTGGTTTATGAAGCTAATAAATAATAATATGTCATCCATATGATTAATTTATCTAGAAAAATGTAAAATTCATAACTTCTTCATCAAGTGTTAGTAAATTTTAAAAAAATATATATATTTATAAATTACCAACTAAAGAATATTAAATGTTTTAATATATTATTATTAAAAGAATACACTCTAAATAATAAAATGTCCTTATTGATCATTTTGCAATGTCAAACAGTTATAAGCTTTCAGCTATTTACCAAACACTTATTTAAAAATCGCTAATGCAATCCGCTGGTCAAATCAGCTAATATAATCCGCTATCCGCTATCCGCTGATACAATCCGCTATCCGCTTATCGCGAAACAAGGCCAATATCTTATCGCAAGTGAATCTTACCTAACAAATTAGATTATTGGTGTATCTCTACAATACAATCTTCCTTAATGAGATAAAAAAAATCTTGTCTCGTCTCACCTAACAAACATGATCTTAGAATATTAAAGCAGATAAGATCATTATAGAGGCGCAAAATCAATTAACATTTAGAACCACCTTGCTGTCCAAAAGTGTAACTCACTACATGCATATCCTACTTCAATCTAACATAAGACGAGCTACAGTAATCATATCAGCACGAACTGTACCTCATCAGAAAGCTTAGAAAATGACCTATAATTTTCATGAAGATTACATTTTCATTTGAGCACATTAAGATGCAAAAAACAGATAAAACATTCAACACACACATGCTGCCGGGACTTGTTAAAAACTGCTTGCGTGACAATTTTGTAAAAATCATAACTCTCTCATTTCAAGTCGGATTTTCGAAATTACAAAACTCACAGAACCAAAACCGAATGAACTTCAAATTATATGAAGATCATAATTTCATAAAACGAGTTTTTCATGCCCTTTCAGGGCTCGACAGAGGCTGTAATAACACGTTAAATCATGAAATCTTAATGAACCTTCACCTCATTAATTTCTATAACAAAGCAACTCATTACATCAAACCAACACCAAAATATCTCATATTAAGACACATAAACAAGGTTAGGTTCATACTTAGCATGCTTTATCAAGACTTCATTCAAATTCAACATAGATCACCATATAGGCTCGTAAATACACTCGGACCCCAACATATATATATATACAAAACATAAGATAATCGCCAAAGCATCAACATCTCAAATAATAACACCAATTAACACATTAACATAAAGGGTTTCGATCCTCGGTGTACCGTTCTCACGAAAGGATCACGAGACAGTCGAAGAAGGGTCGAAGCGGGGCTGCCGGTGCGCACGACGGGGCTCGGCAGAGCTTGCGATGGCGCTCGGCAGCGGGGCGTGACTCGCGGGTTCGCGTGAGAAGCCGAACATGCTTGCTGCGAGGGGGCTCCAGGAGCGATCAACAAGGCGGACGGCCGCTGGTTTGCTGGTCACGGCGACCTGAGACGGCGGAAGGGATCGCCGGGTTGCTGGGGTCGCGGGAAGGTGGTCGTCGGAAGCCGGGGTCTGCTCGCTGGTCGTCGGAAGTGAGCCTGCGTGGAGGACAGCGGCTCGCCGGGCGTTCGCGGAGGAGCAGGGCAGCGGTGGAAGCGGAGCTGAAGTTGTTCGCGGCTGGCCTGCGCGCGGAGGAGGAGCTGAAAAGGTGGCTGCCGGATTTTGATGAGGGAGAAGGTGAGGGATGAGCAACGACGAGAGAGGAAGAGATTTTCGCTCTTCTGATCGACGATAGCGAGAGAGAACAGACGAGAGAGAGCTGAGGGTTTTTGGTGTCTGCGCAATGTCGAGAGAGAAAAGAAAATCTGATTTTTAACGAGACTAGGGCTCAAGCCTTGCCCAACAAAAAAAAAGAGAGCAGGTCGGGTCGTCGGGCTCACGGGTCGGCCGGTTTTTGGGCTGGTTCGGCGCGTGGGCCGGTGTCTCGTGCCCGACACTTAACGAATATGTATATTCGAGGCTCGGAAAAATAAATATGATGATCCGGAAACTAACCAATATAAACCGACATTATTGATATATTCTTACGATACTCGGAAAAATACTACATGACCTCCGGAAAAATTTAAAATAATTAAACCGACATTCATACCTATACATTTATAATACACACAATATTTATTTATATTTTAATAAGCAATTAATAACAATTAAATAATTAATGAGAGCAATAATAATAATAACAATAATTCCATAATTATCCGAAAATCCAAACAAACGAACGGCCTAATTCCGAATTACGCGATTTAACCGAAATAGCCAAACGACGAACGTTTAAAAATAAAATGATTGAGTACTTAAACCTATAATTTAAGTACCTCACAACCAATATAACAAATATAATCTCAAAAATAAAATTCGATAAATAGAATAATCCGAGAAATCCTATAAATCGAACGGGGCGCTACAGTCTATCCTCCTTAAAAGATTTCCGTCCTCAGAAATACTAAAGAACACGCATCCAACGGAAACACGAAAGACTCAAACGGAAATCCCCAATCATGAGGACTGAGTATCCCACCTGAAACTCGACCCCGCTCGCCTGAGTCTTATCGCCCTAATCTCAGAAAGCGTACACTCACATACAGAACTCAATCCGACTCGCCCTTTGCTCATATGTTTACCTTCATGCAGGGGTGGGTGATCAATCCTGCCCGAGCTCAGGCGTACATCCTCTTGCAAGGGACTAGTCCGGCTTGGCCTGTACCCATGAGTATCAACAATTTGCTTCGTACCTAACAACACACAAGACCCCAACAGGTCGTTTGGTGTATTGCTAGCGTACTCCGACTGCCTCACCATCAAGGTGGACACTTGACGCCAAGCTTCAGCCTCGTGCCCGAGGCACACTGATGACTTGCTCACGATTTCATCACGGGTCGTGTGTCTCTATCAGAGACATCGACACGGTAACACACATATAGACAACACAATCCCATTATGCTCATACTCTCAAGATATCGACTCCACAAGTCGAACGTAACCCTTATGCGCAACATAAGGCTCCGTCCAATAGCAATATGAGCTTCCCCATTTGCCGACTCGAGAAACTCTCGAGTAAGGCATAGGGACTTTTAGACCACACTGCTAAATCGAAAAGCATTGATTAAGGATTCATACACAATTTAGTGGAACTTGGGGCTCTCAGTTTAAGGCCCAAAATAAAGGGTTCAAAATGTCTAGCCAAATAGTACAGCACGAACCGGGTCGAATAGTTCAGGAAAGAAATCGATAGTTCGGGTTAGTGCACTGTCACCTAAGAGGCGGCACGTTCGCTGGCGCTGCATAAGCGGGGCGCTGGGACGCGCGCGTACACACCTACTCGGAGACCAGCTACAAGGTCGAGGTTTGGCCGCACATGCTGGCCTGCGGAGTTTGTGCGTTCGGTGATGGCGGCTGCAACTCGCGTGCGAGTCGACGGTTGCGCGCTAGCCTTACGTCTCTCAGCATGGTCGTGCGTGCTAGGCCACCACTTCGCGTGGCTACACCCAGCCAGGGTCGGGGTTATTCCAGGTTTCCACAAGAAATTACAATTCAAGGCTACAAAAAAAGAATGGGTTTACCAAATTTCGAAAATTTTGGGGTCAACAAAACAATATATATTTCAGGCGTTTCACAATTTCAAAAGTTTCAAATAAGTCTCAAAAATAGCAAGGTGCAAGTTCGAGTTCCAAGTTTACCAACTTTCTAAAACAACAAAACGCAATACGCCACATATCTAACGATATGCAAAATCTTAAAAGAACTCTCATGACGATTCTCTCTAAATTAACAGCTTCTGCCGAGACATTAAATAGATAGCTCGCCTCGGCTCTTCCGACTAACAGCGTCGGCCGACATGTCAGCTCTTCCTCGGGTAGCTAATCGTGTCAGCAGTCCTAAACAAGCGCAACTCATCTAGAGTTCCAGAACGTTTAAAAGTAGGAGGATAAATTCCTAAGC